ATAAGAAGAAACATGTATAAGATTCGAACTTATATCAACGTGTCCGTAGCACGATATTCTAGCCATTGAACTAACATCACGCAGCACGGCGTGCGCGGCCTGCAACGCCGCCGCGATGCCCGTCCCGCCCGCGACAAAGACCAGGTCCGAGGTGGCGGGCGGGACGGCGAAGTCCATCGCCTCCAGCCCGCGCATCTCCAGCCGTGCCCCGACCGCCAGCGACTGCAGGTACCGCGACATCTCGCCGTACGCGATGTCGCGCACGAGGAAGTGCGCCGTGATCGTCTCGGGGTCGGCATCGCAGGCATCCTCGGCGCCGTCGCTCCCGTCGCCACCAGTAATCGTTGGGGCCACCACCCCGGGCGGAAGGGGCGTGTACCTCCGCCCGATCTGGATGAACGGCTGCTTGAAGAACAGGCTCCAGCAGCCTCGCGCGGTGGCCTCGTCATAGATCTCGCGCAGCCTGCGCGCGTGCGGGCCGGCGGTCCGGACCGTCAGGATGCTGCTTGTCGAGGACACCGCGTGGCGCGCCACCAGCTCGTAGGAGATGAAATGGGTGGTCGGGTCGTCGCGGCGCGCTGCGGCCTCCTGGCGCCGGCGCTGCCACTCCGGGATGACGTACGCTCCGTATGCGATGACGAGCGCAGCTGCTATAATGGAGAGGAGCCGCCTCGTCTGCCGCTGCGCGGTAGGAGGTCGCGGTGGCGGTGGCGGTCGCGGTGGTGGTGGCAGATCGCATCGCTCGAGTATGCCAACTTGGGTGGCTGCAGCTGGCCCATGCCCCGTGATCCTACGCCGAGTCTCAAGAAGTCCATCGCGGTGTCCGTCTGTCGAATTGTGAGAGCTCCTCAGCTGCTGCCATGTGGCCGTGTGGGATGCTGTCGCTGGGCATAGACCAGGGAGCAGCCGGTGAGGCGCGACGGTGGGTGCGCGGGCTGCCCGGCCGCCCGGGAGGGATAGCCGGGCGGTGCAGCGCAGCCTCATGGGCGAGAAGCGGAGGCTGTGGTCGTCTCGGATGAGAACGCGCGCGAAGACGCTGCAGACAATGCAATCACATGCCTGGCATGTCTGGGGAGGTGAGGCTGGCTGCGTCTGCTCCTGTACGTACAATCACGTCGATCTGCGATTGTGTCGTGCGGTGCCGCTTGTTGCCGTGCGGGAAACTTTGTGCGGTGCGGCGCCGGCACCGGCAGAGCGTGAGCCTGGGCGTGAGCGTGGCAGGTGGTCGATGCCGATAGCGCGATCTACGATATGTGCATGACTGTCTTCACGCAAGTGGACAGGGCATGCGCGTTAAGGGGCAGGCCCTGCCAGCGGTGGACGACCCGCTGTCACAGTGGCGCTCGCCGTCGGACCAGGTAGCCTGAGGGGACGGGATTACAATGTGGGCAGGACGTGCCCCTGCGTGGCATGCGTGGCATGTCGGAGCTTGCCAGCTGTGGTGCTGCCCTGACTGGCCCAGCTTGGACTGGGCAGGCCAAACCGGCATCTGTCTGAAGAAGGCAGGGGGCAAGCTTCTTGACATGCCATACCATGCGTCGGAGGCCAGCTGTGAGGGTGGAAAGGGTGATCGGGTGAGGGCGACCAGCTGTGATCGCGGTGGCTTCGCGGCGCATGGTGTACCTGTACTGCGCCTGTGGCACTGGCGGTGCGAGCCTGTCCTTGCAGGCAGGGAGGGGAGAAGAGAGTCAAAACACCGCATGGTCGAACCAGACTGGTATTCCTGGCAATGGACAGGCGGGGGCAGCAGTACATAGCGAGAGGGGGATGGTAGAGGTGGGACTGAATAGCAATGGCAGGGCAGGTACAAAGGGTGTCGGCGGACGTTCACCGTGGCCACGCTCCGGCTGAGTCAGGGAGACTGGGCGGGTGTGTCCGACAGGAGCGAGGCGGTCAGTGATGCCAGGGGGGCGCGGATGGTAGTCCTGGCGGCGGCGGGTGTCGTGTATGTGTATGTGTATGTGTATGTGTATGTGTATGTGTATCGCGAGCAAGGGGTTGAAGCAGGGAGGAGACAGACGGTAGTCGGGAGCGAGTGGCGAGGGGCGAGCAGAACTGCCTGCTGTGCTGCTGGGTGCCGGCAGTGCAGTGCACTGCCCACGGCCTGGCCGCAGCAGTGCTATGACGACTCTTCGGGCTCGTTGGAGATGAACATGACGCGCATGCGGTGGGCCTATGACGAAGGGGCGGAGAGTGTTAGTTGATAGCGTGCGGGAGATATGGTCGGGGGGAGGGTGTAATACCGCCGGCAACTTCGGAATGACCACCCCCAGCACCGCGAGGAAGTTGATGCAAAAGTACGTCAAGTCGTAGTGGGTGTAGTGGGTGCTCATGAGGAAGAGCAGGATGGGGACCATGAGCAGAAACTTCTTTGCCGGAGTATACTGGTCGCCGTCGTCGATCTGCTCCCACATGTTGAGGTTGTCGTAGGCGCCGGCGTTGAACTCGAAGGGGATGCCGCGCACCCAGTGGAACATGATGAAGGAGAAGAACATGTAGGTGATGTTGGTCAGCGTCCAGGAGGTCTCCTGCGAGATGCCGGGGATGATGCCGAAGAAGATCTTGGCGACGGCGATCAGCACGAAGTGGATCGTCCAGGCGCCTACACCATCGCAGTCAACGGTCAGTTGTCGTCACTCCATCACTCCGGGGGGAACAGGGGAGGAGTACCCTTATGATGCACCCAGTTGGCGTTGCGGTTGGGCAGCGCGGCCTGGTCGTTGGTCTGCTCGATCGACTCGGCCGGCTCCTGCCAGATGATGCTGCTCGACCGCCGCCGCCGCGCGGCCTTGTACGGGTCCGCCCCGTCCGGCGTGAGGTGGAACTGCGTCATCATGTCGTGGAGTCGGGGTGGCGTGGACAGGTGGCAGGCGGGCGTGTCCTGCTTCTTCAGCGTGGTCGTGGTGTGGTCCCGCTATAGGACTTGACCGCTAGCCACTGACAGCTACCCACTGCCGGCCACACTGGTCCGGTGGCGGGGTCTTGTACAGGCGCAGTCTGCAATGCAGATGCAGATGGCAGCCCGGACAGCTCGGACAGCTCGATCGGCCGACGGGGACTGCGCGCTGCGACGTCGCAGTTAGAGTCCGGCCGAGGCCTGCTGACGATGACGACCACGACGACGACGATTGCTGTGGCATGAGGTCCTTGCCGTCGATCTCGACGTGCTTGCCATCCTTGATGACCCATGCTTTC